TGTCTTTGGAATGGATTTTATTTAAATTTACATAATAATCGATCAAGATCAGCGAAACCGAACCACACCTCTACGACTACAATGCATACAATGTTTTTATGTTTAATTTAATTTTTATAATAATTAGCGTGCGTACGTATACTTTGATCATAGAAACCACACACACAATAGTACAGATATTTATTAAAATAATCAAGACTTCAACACACAATACAACAAAATTAGAATAGAGCTACTATACCTAATAGTTTACTCTCTTTTATCAATTTCAAGGTGGTAAATACCGGCATAAGACCTCGGCGGTCATTTAGACAAAAAATTAACTTGGGCATCTCTATGCCTGCCTAGTCTAGTAATCTATAGCTATAACAAAAATTACGAAGTCTCCAAAATAAATTTCAAGAATATGTATTAAAGCTTCGTGGTTGTAATAGCCGAATACACAATAACACTGGAATCTCGGTTTTTATTTGATTGAATTTAAATGAAAACCCAATTTAAAAAAACTATTAAATACCTATGGGGCAAAACAATTGCATCTAGGAAAAAACGCCAAAGAGACACTTAAACCCACACTTTTCTCAAGACATCTTCCTGGACGAAAAATAATTTTCAAACAAAAACACCACTTCATAAGCAATTATTAATATAAATAAATAAATGTAACTATACACACTCCTGTACCATATTCATAAAAATGTTAAATAAATACATAATTTAATTTAGTTCTAAGGCAAAATACTTGTAAAAACATTGATATTTAAAAAAAAAAATTATAAAAAAATTTGTTCTTTATTAAAAGTGAAATCAGCCTATAAATTAATAGTATTACATAATTATTAAACTTTCATAAAATATTAAAATTGTAGGTAAATTTTAAACTATTACTTCATTATAATTGATATCGCACGCCTAGATCAAAACTGTAGCAACTCAAAAAGTGGGTATTTTTAGTTATTTGCAACCGAAGTTGCATGAATCAACAAAAAAAAATGTAATTTATCTTGATTACTCTACAAAAGATAGCGCTGTAGGTACTATTTGTGAAAATGACTAACCCATAATACTACCAAAAACGTTTAAAACTTTAGTTTCTGCCCAGTGCCCGAACATCAAGCGGAGCGCACATGTGTTGGTTGTACAAAACTATTTTATTAAAATAAACAGTTAAAGTTTAATTGAAAGGTTAAAATAATTAAACTTCAAAATAAGGTTTTTGGAATTCCTGAAAAGAGGTGTTTTTTAAGTTGCTACAGTTTTGATCTAGGTGTGCGATATACCTAGTACGCAATTAAAAAATACATTTGTTTTAACAACTATGCGAATATCAAATGACAAAAACTCATTAAGTTGAAATTGCGTAAGCTGTTAAGATCAGGCGCTGATCTATAAATTCCAACTGAGATGCTCTAACCTAAGCTAGACTCTGATTTTCTTATTCCTGATTGATCCGACACTGAATAATAAAAAAAATTAAGTCGTAGCCATGTCTTTTTTTATATTTAATATTTGTAGTACACGTTAACCTGTACAGGGTATGTAGATGTATAAATAATCAGCTATCAATACACTTTTTATCGTGTATACAGTATACTACACCTGCACGATAAACCACCACCAGCTGGTATATTATAGTCATTTGGGACATGGGTATAAGATATATTGCGTGCGTGACACGTACTTGTGACATTTATTTGGTATGTTATACGCGTGTTACACAGACAATTACAATTAAAAACGTTGTACGTACCGATTCGACCTCCTCTTGAGCAATTTGAATAAAACATAATATATTATCTTAGCCATTGATGGTTATCATAACCGCCGCCGTCAATAGTGTCACGTGACCGCGGTTAATTCGGATTTGTCGGTCGGCCCCATTAAGTATAGATTCCAACGCGGCCACCGATGCATACAAGAAACGCCACAGTGCAAGTATACCTACCTGTATTAGAGCTCATCCGTGTTCTTTGACCGGCTTGCTATACAGCTGTTCTGATCATTTAGTATTATTTGTCCTACATTAAAATATCGGTGAATGTTAATTTGTTCCACGTGCCTTTGCATATTTTCTTCACACTTCACTTATGGAATAATTGAACGAGGATGATTGTATGGCTTACTTACTCGAGTGCATGTAAGCATATTCGTTAATGTACATGCATTACGCTTAAGAGACTATACCGGCAAAGTCTTAATTCTTTGTCGGTTAAACACTAAACTGTATAAAAACCAACAGTGTACTTGTATACGTAAAAATACCCAAAGAGAGCATTGCAGATTTCATTTTTCCCACGAGCAAAATATGATTTATCCATGACTTCCCTTGTACAACAAAAAAAAAAGTGTGGCATTATTGTAATATCTCTATGAAAAATATTATATATGCTTATTACAAACGTATATAGGATCCAAATTGTTGTATGCCGTTTTACTTCCGGTAAGTACTGACAATGCAGACCCACTAGAAAACATGATCTATCAACACTGTAAACATTTTAAACCACAAGTATTATATATTATGTATATATATTTTATATTAAACAACCATAGACGTTGATCCGATGACGTTTCTTTTCAGATGTTATCCTCTCTTCCGCTTCACCGGGAACCTATGCCAATAAATATAAAATTTACGAGAAAAGACATAATCTTTTACCTGTATACCTAGTACATGGAATCATACTTGGAAAAAAATGCACCATTACAATATATTTTAAAAATACAGTGACGGTGGTGATTATTTAGAACAAGTCAAAATGCTACAGAGTATACAGTTTTCCGATTCGTCGAACGTAATTTCTGTACTGATGAGTCATTTTCCACATAAACGCATACTGTCCGGATTACACACAAAGGATTTAACAAAATATTTTTATAGAGAGTCATTGAGTACTACATTTAGTAAATACATCCAAATAAAACGATAAAGCGATGATATGATTCTTCTTACAAAAAAAAATGTAAAAATTCGTATTCCATCATCTAGGTAAGTACGAAGTTAAAAGCAGACTGCCAAGTTTCTTCATCTATGCGCACGATATTACTGAAACCCCTACCAAACAACTTTTGAACAGATAGTTTTTTAGAACATTTAGAAGATGAACAATTAAAAAATCCGTTATTTGTTTGTACCTAGAAATAAGATTATTTTATAAACCAACAAGGTTAATAAAAACTACAGTTAAAATTCTTATTATATTATATTACTACTACTAGGAACGACTTAATTGAGTAATAATACTAATTTGTTTTTGAAAGGCAGCCACAACAAAAGTAATGTTTAATTTTTACCGTCACAGCTGACTTAAAAAAGTACTTGACACATATCAAATTTCAAACCAAATTTTTTTTAAAAGGAACATAGCAACTCCAGATAGCGAATTTAAAAAACATCTTTTGTTTTGTATAAATATATTTTCTACTTAGCCTAATATTTTTAAATATAGCTGTTCTTTTCTATAACTAGAAATCGATCGTCATCCATCTCTCTTTACATGGAGACTACAGTTATTCCCCCCTCCCATAAACAGGATATTAGCCACATACAATAAGGACAACTGAAACTTAAATATCTTGAATAATATCGTGACGCCCTAATACAATGTATTAATACTGCACTACCTAGTACCTACTATGTTTTGTTTTTAGTTTGTGTTTTGTATTGTTTATATAATAAGAAAAAACTATTGGTTATTTGATTAATGAATGTACAATAATTGAAGGGAGGCCCTTTTAATTTGGGAGCCTTAGGCTCGTACCTAACTTATTTAATGGGAAATGTGGCTATTTCGACTTGCGTTTTCTAATTATTATGCAATTCATACTTGCCAAATAAATGATCTTATTTATCATTATTTCATTGATAAATAATATTTTTTTTTCTAAATTAAACAAGATTAGTCGCTATAGGGTTTCACGGTTTCAAGCGAGGAAAATGATATACAGAGCGCCATAGCGCACGTTTAATGTATTTTAAATTACGATATTTAGTGTTTGCTATAATAACGTATATTAACTATTATAATTTTGATTTTAGAAATCGTTTTGTACAAATAAAATAGGTATAATATTTAATAAATGACAGTAGTCAAATAGTAACTAAATAGAACGTCTAAACAAATATTATTTTTTTACAAATTTCACTTATGACTAAATAATTAAATATAAAATATATTAAACGTAAATAAAATACAAATCAAAATTCTGTTTAGTTTGTCTTTAATTTATGACAGCTATATAAATATTTCAAATGCTTTAAGTAATGAATAGCGAATATTTAATTTGTATTAAAACATAGAGTCCAAACACAAAACACGGCCAAGAGGACGGCCCAGGCAACGCTTGAGAAATAGGATCGCCAAGGACTTATTCCAATTAGGAGATCCCGTTAAAAAATGGAGAACAGTTAGAAAACGATAGGGATAGTTGAAGGTAGCTGGTAGTCGACTATGGACCTAAATAATGCGTAGAATGCCAAGAAGAAGATTTAAATTTACATAAGATTTAATTTTGTTCAATACACTTTTCATTACTTATTAATATTTTAAATACCAAAAACCGTCATATAACATGTAAGTTACAATTAGGAAATCAAACGATGACATTAGTATAATCAGAGATGATTGACGGTGTTATTATTTTTTTTAATTGAAATATCGAAAAGTATTAGAGAACTCGCAAAAATTTTAATTTAAATAATAATTTATCGATAAAGAGATACAATAATTACTCGACCCGGTCGTAGAAGACATATTATGATTATTGATTTCCATAAACAAGAGAAGACACTCATTTATAGTAGATTTAATGAAACCGTAGGACGTTAAATTTTACGGCGAAGAAGATGGACGAAAAACTATAAAACCACTTTTGAGTTTTGATTGTACAAAAAAAAAAAAAACAAAATCAAAGTGTGTGCCGCGTCTCGGCCGGTTCGATAGATGCGACGGGGGCAAAGTGAAAGAGTTATACTAGACGCCTGTTACCGTTACCCGGTCGACTGGAGAACGTGTCCGTGTGCACTGTGCTTCAGTAACTCGTCCGAAACCGTAGACGGTTAGACGTGCGTTCGGGTACTTGTTCTTGAAAGTAATAGATATAAATTTTGTTTTGTTTACAAACGTGTTTTGATTCGCCGGTAGAACGTTAAAAAAATTTAATTGTTTCGACTTTTCGGTAGTTTGCGGATAATACTAATATTGTACCTAAGCGGCCAAACACTTGTGCTTACCGATGGTCAAACGTTATCGGGCCGATACAGTCATGGCATTGTTCACGGCTGTTCTACAGTGAAGACTTACCGAAGAAGTAAGGAAATACTATACTATTTATTCACTTATAGACTTTAAAATATCCGCGCTGAGGTCGTCTGGTCAGTATGAAATATAATGGAGATGTCTATTTTCACGTCGGCATTTAAAACATACTTAACACAATAATATTTAACATGATACTGTGTATAAAAAAACTTAAATAATAATAACGGCGTACGACTTTAAAAAAAGTATCCATTAACTCGTCAGTGTTCGAGACGTTGTATTGACCTCTCCGGTCCGTTCATATGGTCACGAATAAAAACCATTAGGTAGTGAAGATATCATTTGTAGGAGTAAAATTTTATGACAGGTTTTTTTTTATCTTCTGACAATAATGCTTCTTCCTGTTCTAAACATTGCGGATACACGCTCCTCATCCTATTATGTATTATCCAACTAATTCGTGTGAATACGTTTTTTACTAAGAACAATAGAAATCTGATTTGAGCGGAAATTAAATCCTATAGTTTTATGTAGCTTCCTTTAATAAAACTACCTTATAGATTTGAGCTTTCTTTGACTATTTCCAGAGGGACATAGGGTGGTAAATTAAAACCCTTCCGAAATTAAAATTATTATTATTATTAATAGGATCCTTTTGTTGTACACTTGTCAGTGCAAAAATAGTTTGTCACTGTAGTGGTATTATGTCTCCCTTCTTCCTGAAGAATATTTATGGTTACGCTACAGTGCCACTATATTATGTATAAATTCCATTATACGTCAAAATATCAAACAATATTATAGGTGCCTGTCGTTTACTTTAACATAAATAAGTCTTAATTGTTTATTAAAATTCACATAACCATTTTATATATGACTATATAAATTAATGATAGACTATGAGTTATTATTGTTGGTTGAACTAACTGCTACAGGGGCGGGATTTATTTCCCCTGGTAGTACTAAGCGTATGTTAAGTGTAAACTACATAAGTGATCAATTTTTAAATTGCATTTTAAAATATTGATAAAAAGTAATAGGGTAGATTATTGTATAAGAAAATAAATAATAATTGACTTAATATATTATAATGGGTACGATTTTGGATACGTATGATTAACATACGTTAACGTACTTTACGTTTACGTACTTAACATTTCATAATTTAGTAATTGTTTTAAAAGAGTGTTAATTGATAATTATTTTGTAATCTTAGAAATTTATATGTATTACTAGTTACTTTTATTGTAAAAGTAAATGAACTAGGTATATATGTTTTTTTTTAATTTGAATGGTATTATAAAATAATAAATATTACAAGAATATGTTCGTAGCTCACATATAAGTATACATATTCTAGTTAGTTTAAGATAAATAAATATAAATCCACGATTTACTAACAATAATGAATTAGGTTTACAATATCTATCATAGACTGTAGACATTAAACGTTAACTAACCACATGCACTTATATTAACACAGTAAAGTGGTAAAGGGGGAGTAGAAAGTTTTTTTTTGTTTTGCACCTCAAATTATTAGGATTTACGGGTTTCTTCAATTAATAATATAGTATAATGCTATAGCTAATAAATGCAGGACTTTAAAAAAAGGTATGAACAAATATTCGTATGAATGTACCTAGTTGGTACATGATTTAGTTAATCATGCCGTACCTAGTTTTATTCTGCGTTCGCCGTGATAAGTTAAAAAGTTATCGTATTATTATTTCGAAACAATAAACATTGACCGTTTAAAATTAGTTTTGTGTGTAAAGTAAACGTTTTTGCTACCTTGATCAATACTTACAGCAACCTTACAAGTTGGGTCAATTGGAGAAACGTATTTCACGCACGCACTACAATAATAAATTATAAACCTCCGTACCTGTATATGTATCTTGCGCGCTAATTCTTGAATTTTTCCCTCTCCGAATGTTTATAATACTTATATAAATGCCGGTAAAACTCAACCCTAATCAGATTTCAGCGATTTCCCGATAGAAAGCGAGTAGGTAGGTACTTCTTACTAATATAGTTTTATTGAATTGGATAAATATGCTACAATCGATCATAAGCGTGAAATCGCAATGTAAATACAAATGGAAATCTAATATTGTATTATGTATACATACAAATCCGTTAATCTGAATGGCAATGGCCAATGGGCAACATAATTTAACGGATTAATAATTATCGCTCTACGGCGCGGCGTTTTGCTGTTTTTTACATGCAAATACATTTTCTCCTGGTACAATTCTAGGTCGAATGCAACTCTCCCTCGCCGTAGCTCTTCCACCTCGGGTTATACAGGTCTGTAAAGTGTTAACCTCGCCATCTGCACCACGTCTAACCTCGATTTTTCGCGCATTATTAATATTTCAATTGTGAAAAAAAGATACAGGACAAAAAAATGAAATCAACACCACATCATCATAAACATGTTAAACCGAGTTGTCACGGTTGTACATCAAGGAAAATGGATAAAGCGCATAATGGTCTTCATTTTTATATATTTTATTATTCAGTAGCACGTACAGCCTACAGATCATCATAATAATATTTTTATAGTTAGAAATAGGTAGCCCACACCGGATAAAGATCAGTGGCAGCGGCCGACCGGCATAGCCGTTTATTTTTTCGTTTTTTAATATTACCAATGTTAAAAGCCGAATATACGTACAATACATCACATTATTACCCTTTTGTTTTTACGTGTAACGATGCAACGACCGCGAAGGTCATGTTCGCGATACAATACTATATAGGTAGCCCACTAGACAGTAGTATATGTTATTATGTGTCAACTCGGTTTTCCTATTGTCTGATTTGTGTTTATACATTATATATATATCTACATACACATTCAAACATTAACGAAATACGTGAAATTGCAGAATTTATAACCGAAATGCATGTGATTGTGTACAATTATTTATTAGCTTGATAGAGGACAACTGTTAACCCGTGTTATAGTTGTGTCGCAATCCTATTCCGAGCTGGGCTGCGAATTGGTGGTTGGAGTACATGGTGTTTGTAAAGTATTTACCATAGGTATGCTATATCTATAAGGTGCAGAAATTGATACTAGAATACGATTTTGTATAAACTTTAATAATATAATAGCTCAAGTAACTTGAGCAACATTTTTAGGACGATTCGAGTGTGTTTCAGATGGTGCTGACAATATAAAATAAAGTTAATTATTATTGTTACTAAAACTATCATTAAAATATTACGCAATCAAGATTAATGTTTACTGTATCTATTTTATTTTATTTTATATCCGGTCCGAGTGATTTATAATTGTTTTTTTTTTTTAATCCTTTCGAAAATCTTTTTTTGCTGGACCTACTTATGTAACGTTTTACGAATTTATCTGATGAAGTAAACTGACGTTAATTGGTGGAAATAGCTTTCTGTGTTAACACCTTGACTTTCGAGCCTAATAGTTCCTATGACCTATAGTTCAACTACAAAAATCTTACTACTGTGTGTGACAAGTAAACTAACACTAAAATGTATTTATAGTACACGCGCTAAGAGATCGAGAATGGTTCATGTTTTTCTAACACTTAACTTACAGTCTTTCCAGCTTAATCAATAAAATGTTAGATATTTTTGGAGATAATAGCTTTGATCAGACCTTACACAATTAGTATTCGATCCATAAGTAACAATAATAAATGCATTTTAACAGATTGGCTCACCATGGTTCGTATAATATTAAAATTATAATAATTAACAATACAAACAACAAAAAAGTATTCGATTGCGAGTTCCTCGGTCATATCTTCTATAGAACATAATAGAATACCACACCTATAAGATTCACAATGACAAAGTTAGCAATAACGAGTTTTTAATAACATGATAATGATGATCAATTTTATTTTATTAACAAATTGTTTTCTTTGTTATAACTTATAGCTTACACTGTGATATACTTAGTCTTTATTAAAGTTATTAGTTGCCTAAATGAGTATTTATAGAAAATCTGAATTAATATTTTCAGTAATTACATACTTAAACCTCAACTCGAGTATCTTTTGTTCTCGTACGAAAAATGTGTTAAATAATGTAATTTAGAATAACATTTGTGCCACGTGTGTTATTAAAATTTTACAATATTTAAATTTAAATAAAATGTATTTTATCTTCTTACAACATCAGATATTGACTGTGACGTAAAATATCCCCCCAAAATCAGAAAACTTGCTCTACTGAAAACGTAGAAATTGGAAAAGGTTCGTTTCGCATTGAAGCCCTCAATTATTGTTCGTAATGTGTGTCTAGAAAAACCTATGTTTCACCACTGCCAATATTATCTAATGTATTACAAATTCGAAAATAATAATTATTTCTCTATAATAATATATAAATATAGTATTATTTATTTACATTTCTACACTATTATTATTCCTTTTTTGATCGTATATACATATGTAATGTAATATGCCAGTCATTAGTGCATTGACCATAGTATCTATATAGTATACACCTACTATATACTATTATGGTATTATATACCGTTCATTAAGAATAATATATATATATATATATATATTTAAGTTTGTTGATAATGATGATAATCATAACGGTGTGAAAATGAAAACCGTGTAGCTCGAAACAGTAACGGCTACACAGATCGTATTGTGAAGAGACCCAGATAACCTGGCCCGTAATTGGTCATTAGAGAGGCCGCGAGAAAGATCGTACCTCCAAAAATTGTAGAATAAAATATTCAAAAGAAAACGTTCTAAAACAACAGCGTCTATATACGACCGGTACGCGTTGATAAGCGTGCGACATTTCGGTGGCAGTCACTTTCTTTTCATTCAACTTGATTGAGGTTTTCGTTGGAATTTTGGTTGTGAATAAACGCCACATCTGCGAATTTAATTGATCATTTATAAATAAGTATATAGGTTAAATGCGATTAGAATCTATCAACTAGTCACTACGGTATCTACGCTTAATTAGACTGGAGAGGTGATCGGGGAAATGCTCTTTGTTAACAACCGAATACCGTCTATGCCAACGGACACACAC